TCCAGAGAAATAAAACCAAAAGTATATACATATATAAAAAACGCATATATGTATATATGTGTGTGTATATATTTATATATGTATATATATGATTTACAAGGAATTGGTTCATGTGATTAAAGAGGCTGAGAAGTCACAAGATCTGCATTTGGCAAGCTAAAGACCCAGGAGAGCCAATGTGTAGTTCCAATCCAAGTCCAAAGGTCTTAGAACCATGAGAGCTGATAATATTAAGTTCCAGTCTGAAAGCTGGTAGGCTTGCAATTCAAGATGAGCCAATGTTTCAGTCCAAGTCTGAAGGCTGAAAAAGACCAATGTCCATCTCATGCTGTCAGGCAAAGAAACATTACCTCTTAGCCTTTTAATACTATTCAGGTCTTCAGTTGATTGTTTGAAGTCTATCCATATTAGAGAGGGCAATCTGCTTTACTCAGTCTACTGTTTCAAATATTAATCTCATCCAAAACACTCTCACAGACATAGGCAGAATAATGTTTGGTAAAATGTCTGGGCACCCATAGCCCAGGCACTAGACACATAAAATTAACTATCATCACTAGTAAGACAACACCATAGTTTTGAATTTGTGAATGAAGTGCACTTCTGAGATGATAACACTAGAAGTTATAAGTGGTAGGGAAGCTGCTTCTTCATTGCATACCTTTAAAACATTATGTACCATATATCTTTTTATTAACAGGTAGCCAATGTGAAGAACAGCAAAAAGTTTAGAAACCACTGCATCTTTCTCAGGATTTCTGCCCCAGATAGAGAGCCAAGTCACTTGTTACTAACTTTTGATGGCTTATTAAGGGAAATGTACTTACTTCATTTTCCAAATGCTTAACTGTCCTTCTGTGATCAGACTTAGCTCCAGCTAGGATACATTTTATGATAGCCATTTTATGTACCCAATTCTGTTCTGTCTGATCTGATGGCAATAGATTGATAGGGCTATTTTGGTATGAGGCCACACATCCTTCAATAAAAATGATATTGAGTGAGATTCCTTTTTTATCAATGTCATACATTTTGTCAAAATCATCCCTAGTTGGCAGGAATGATGCATCAGTTAGTTTTATGCAACCCAGGAACATGCCAACTGCCAATATTCTCATACTGTATTCTGAAGTGCAGTGTTACCACAGCAGTAAAAAGATCAGAAAATAAAAAAATCTGGCTTTAAGTAGTTTTGTTTTTCTGATAGGGAATAAAGAATTCCATGATTCCTATCTGCTCCATTTGCCAGCATTAGTAAGAAAAATCAGCAGCATTTGTTTTCAGTCATACGGTATATTTTCCAAAAAGCAAATGTTCTTTGATCCCATGTACACTAAGTAAATAGATTGGTTTTTACAATATTTGCCATTGTCCATCTATGATTTTATTTCCAGAAGCATTTCAAAATTTTTTATTTTGTGTATTTTAAAATTTATTTTGTATATGATAAACACAGAGTTCTTTCCATATAGTTTAATTCATGGAATACTAAATTTATAGCCTTTAGTTAGATTTTTTATCCCCCCATTAACTGGTTATGTAGTAATTCGACATTTACTTGAACATCAATTCATCTCACTTTTAAGCAGTTTTGTTAGGTCTTCTTTACTCCAAATTTTAAAAATATCTTCCTGTAGTTTCTGCCTCTTGGCTCATGTTTTTTTTTTTTTGTTTTTTGTTTTTTTTTCCTCTCCCTCTAAAAGTAACATGTGATATTCTTTCAAATATTTGGGAACAACAGTGTGGTCCTCAGTACTCTCCAACTTCTCTTTGAAATATCCCAACTTCTTCCAGCTATCTTAGTGAGATGGCACTGTGGGTGTTAATAAACTACTTATCAGAACCATTTATAGGATCATTTATCAAATATTTTGTGCCAATTATTGTGCTAAGCACTTTACATGTACTGTTTCATTTAACCATTAAGTTGACAAATGTTGAGTGTTTAGTATATGTTAAAGTGCTTGAAATAAATCAGTGAATAAAAGAAATAATAATTATTGCCCTTACAAAACTTACAGATAAGTTAGTTAGAGGGTCATACAAGTGTTATGAAAAAATCCCACATCTAATAACAACCTAAATATTAAGTACTATTGTATTTTATGCACAAGAGCTCTAAGTAAGACTCAGTAAATATTGATGTGTGAAACGGAACAGAAAAGCAAAAGTTAATAGTTGTAAGAAAAAGTTTACATCTACTAACTCTAATTTTACAAATGAGGAAACTGATACCTCCAAAATTTGGATGACGTGCTTAAGGTCACCAATTACACAGCTACCATAACTTATAATCCAGTGTTCTTTTCTACGAATTTGTCTTCTATAGAGTAGAAACAGAGGGAAAGTTATTATTTGATAGCAAACCCTAAGTTCTACATAGAACCTGGGTTTATTTTTTAAAAATTGTAGATAATTCAAATTTTAATTTTAATTGGTATTTTATATGAATGTTACCTCCTAAAAATTTTTATTTAGTGCACCCTGTAACTTCTTTCAACATTCTAGTGTTATTTTATTTACATATATTCTGCAAACCTCTCTTTTTTCTCCTTCTCTTCCCCAAATCAAACTTGAATGAATGGCTTTAGGAACTAGAAGTAAAAGCTATGTGTAAAAAAAAAAAAAGGCTATATTTAGAGCCTACTAGAAGGTCCACATTTAATAGCTGTATTTACTTATAAATATCTCCAACTGTCTTAGGTCAACCATGTTTAATAGGTCATTCAACTTAGGTGCTTGGCAGGACTAAGGCAACTCTGCTGCTGAGACAACTTCATCCATCAACACATCTCACCATCTGTGCTGCACATCGATAGAATGTTTGAATGATACAGACCTCGCCACTAGGTCTTTCTTTCCGTTTGAGCTGTGGGCAATCTGCTGTCTCATTGCAAA